ATGCGGCTCCCCATGGCCAAGCGAACCATAGCCCGGGCATTGTCAGGATCCAGGCCTTCCACCTAAAGTGTTGGGAAGAAGTAATTAGGCAAAAGTTGAGTGGACTTGACCTACATTTCTAGGACCAAGCTTTCCACCCTTACCTCTGATCGGCCTGACCTCTGTGTCTCCCCCAGCAGACTGTGACCCCTGTGAGTGGGCACCAGGCTTGGTCCAGGCCAGGTCCTGGAAGGTGAGTCTGAGGGATGGCCATTGACATCTGAAGGCTGACTCTGACCCTGAGGTCTGGGACTGGTCCCTGTGTCTCCTCCACCAGATTGTGACCCCTGAAGGCTCGGACCAGGCCTAGTCCCTGTGTTCCCCCCACTAGACTGTGGGGCTTGGACATATTTTAAGCATTTAATCCTTATGCACTTGTGGCATATGGCATTCTCTCCCCTTTAGTTAGAAACTGAGGCTCAGAAAGGCCCAGCAAGTGGTCCTGAGTTACCAAATAAGGCCGAAAAGACAAGGACTTCCAGTCTTTCTCTCCCAAACCAAATTCTTCTCCATTCTGACCCTCACATCAATCTTTCCTGCTGCCTGTTTTGGGCTCCTGGCACATCTTGGTTCCTTACCTTCCCATAGAGTCCTCGATAAGGGCCAGAGAGAACCACCACATATCCTCCAGCTACCAGTCCTTGAGGCTGGTCTTCCTTATCCTTCTCTTGCTCCTCACCGGGCTTCCGAGGGCGGTGGGGGCCAGTGGGGGCCAGGGCCTGGACCTCAGCCAGGTTGGCGCCCAGTCCTAACCCTTTAGGTCTCAGTGAGTTGACACGAGGCTTCACCACTCTGTAGAGAGCACAAAATATGGGCTTGGTTTGGTATGTAAAGGTCTTCAATGCTCCGTTGCCCCCCAACTCCTACCCACTCCCACCCTTTCAAAATGTTCAAGAGTATACTTCCCCATCTAATAGTAGGAGCACTTTTGACCTACAGAAACGGCAATTTCATTAGATTCAACCTAATAACATGTTATATATGCCACCCATTACATAAGATCCATAGTATAACCAAATACACTAATATTTCTACAGAGGAAATCATACAAATATTCATACCGAGCAGGAGAAATATATTATAAAACAATGTCAATTCAGGTCACATTTGGCTGCCAAAGCATTTATGACAAAAAGTTTGGTTTTCAGAATTTTTTGGAGTTTAGAACTGTGGAGAGGGACCGTAAGTCTGTGTGGTAATAGCAATGTCTAGTCCAGCCGTGGGCAAACTACGGCCCGTGGGCCGGATCCGGCCCGTTTGAAATGAATAAAACTATTGAAAAAAAAGACCGTACCCTTTTATGTAATGATGTTTACTTTGAATTTATATTAGTTCACACAAACACTCCATCCATTCTTTTGTTCCGGCCCTCCGGTCCAGTTTAAGAACCCATTGTGGCCCTCGAGTCAAAAAGTTTGCCCACCCCTGGTGTCTAGTCTATGCTTATTTGGGGCCAGGATCTCCTGCGAATGCTTTACATGTATAGGTTCACTTATTTCTCACAACAGACCTGGGAAGTCAATGCTGTTATTATCCCCGTTTTTCCGACAAGGAAGCTGATGCCCAGAGAGGCAATCTTTCCATAAATGGGATCCAATCATGGAGTTTCAAAGGGCAAATAGGAGTCTGAAACAGCAGTGGAAGAGACTACTGAATTGGTTAGGGTGGTAATGTGCCCTTCCCATGCCTAGATGGTTCTGGGTGAGCAGTAACCGCAGGGGTCTCATTGATTATTCTGTCTGTTGTCCCCATGGCCCTACCCCAGAACTCACTGTTTGAAGGTGCGACCAATGCCTTGGCCAGGTTTCCAGCCCATGCCCCGCAACATGGCCAGCCCATAGGCCTCCACAGGGACTGCCTCGTAATTGGCCTCCTTGGGCACCTGTGGGTCCAGGAAGAGGAAGGACAGTCAGACTTTGCTTACAGCAGCAGGCCTCTGAAGTGCATTTGCTATCACCTACTGGGTAACCCTCCATGCTTCTTTTCTAATCAGCTTAAGGGTAACTTTTGATTCCCTCTTGCCATCCCTCACTTTATGCCTCTAGTTCAGTCCTTCAACAAATATTTACAAAGCACCTATGCAGTGCCAGGTACTGTTCTAGGTGCTGGCGATAAGGCAATGAACAAAACAGACAAAAAATCCTGACCTTGTGGGCTTATGTTCTAATTGTAGGACACAGAAGAAATGAAATACATAAAACAGGGTATATCAGGTGGTGATAAGTTATATGAAGGAAAGGAAAGCAGGTTAAGGTGATGAGAGAGATGAAGAAGGGAGTGTCACTGAGTTGACATTTTGAGCAGAGACCAGACGGAGATAACAGGGAGCCATGAGGATGTGAGAAGGAAGTGATGCAAGTAGAGAAAACAGTAAGAGCAAAGGCCCTGAGGCAAATAAGATCTGGTGTGCGTGAAAAGCATCATGAAAGTCAACCTGACTGAAAGAGAGATGTGGAGGCAGAGAGGGCTGGCAAGAAATTAATTAAGAGAGCTGGTCAGGCCCTGACTGGTTTGGCTCAGTGGATAGAGCATCAGCCTGTGGACTGAAAGGTCCCAGGTTCGATTCCAGTCAAGGGCATGTACCTTGGTTGAGGGGACATCCCCAGTGTGGGGTGTGCAGGAGGCAGCTGATCGATGTTTCTCTCTCATCGATGTTTCTAACTCTCTATCCCTCTCCCTTCCTCTCTGTAAAAAATTAGTAATATATATAAATCAATAAATATATATAAAAGAGAGCTGGTCAGGAGTCACAAGAGGATGGCAGCCCCAAGGGGGACCAGCTAGTGAGTAACTGTAATAGATCAGATGAGAGATGCTAGTGGTTCAGGCCAGCATGCCAGCAGTGGATGGGGAGAAGTGGTCAGATTCTAGATGTATTTTGAAAAGGGAGATGACAGGATTCTGCTGACAGATTATATATGGTATGAAATAAAGAGGGGAGTCAAAGGTGACGATAAGGTTTCTAGGCTGAGTGAGAGGAAGGATGGATGGAACTGCAAGAGGGGGGAAAACGAGAGAAATGAGGCCAAAGCTAGAACAGGATGGAGAGTGAAGTGAAAGTCACTTCACTTTTTTTTATCATGAGAGAAACCAGAAGACATCTGAAGACTGATGAGAACAGTTCAGTCAAAAGAGATGGTGGTCTGGGGCTGTAAGAAAACTAGGCTCCAGCCCTAGCTCGTTTGGCTCAGTAGAAAGAGCGGCGGCCTGCAGACTGAAGGGTCCCGGGTTCAATTCCGGTCAAGGGCATGCACCTCGGTTGCAGACTCCATCCCCAGCCCTGGTTGGGGAGTGTGGGAGGGCAACCAATCAATGTGTCTCTCTCACATTAATGTTTCTTTCTCTCTCTCTCCCTCCCACTCTCTCTAAAAATTAGTAGAAAAATATCCTCAGGTGAGCATTAAAAGAAAGAAAGAAAAGAAAAGAAAACAAAACAAAACTAGGCTTCAAAGAAGCACTGCAGCCCAGTTGGTTAGAGCATCATCTTTCTATGCTAAGGTTGTGGGTTCAATCCCCAGTCAGGATGCATACAAGAATCAACCAATGAATGCATCAATTGGGTGGAATAACAACTCAATGTTTCTCTCTCTCTTTCTTTCCCCCTTCCTCTCTCTCTAAAATCAATAAATAAAAATTTCAAAACAAAACAACAACAAAATCACTGCAAAAAACTCTGAATGGAGAGGTAAAATGCAGGTCTATGGGTATGAAAGACAGACTTGTTTCCTTCTGTAGACACAACCCTCACCTCTCATGGTCTCAAATCCCATCATCACTCCCTCAATTCTTTTTTTTATTCCCTCAATTCTTTATACTCACTCCAGACACACAAGTTGCCTCGATGTTGGACACACATTACATCGATTTCCTGCCAAAATGCCATTGTCTGGGTTGCTGCTGCCATTAAGAGTACTCACCCTGCTCTTCCCTTTCTCATTAAACCCTAGCGGTCCTTCCAAGTCTCTCTCCTACCATTCTTGTCTCAGTTTCCATCATCTGTAGCCAGTAGGTCTCCTTGCTTCCATCTCTGCTTACTAGTCTGTTCGGCTCGCAGCAGCCAGAGAAATCCTGTCAAATCATGCCTTGTCCCTTCTCTGCTCATGGTTCTCATCTCATTCAGAGTAAATCGAAAGTCCTCGCCATGGCCCACAAGGGCCTACTTGATTTAGCTCCCATTTCTGACTTCATCTACTACCCCTCCCCTTCACTCATTCTAATCCCATTACATCAATCTCCTTGGTGATCCTCAAACACTCCAAAGGATGGAAGGAGGAAGGGGTAGGCAGCAGGCCTCTAATACACACACAGACTTTCCCTGCTCAGTGCAGGGAAGGCCTGGCAGATAGGGAAAAGAGGCTGGGGCAGGAGGGGGGCGAGGGGCCAGCTCACTGTCTCTGCCCGGGGCTCGCTGCCTGCCCCTTCCTCGTTGGGGGTGCATCTTTTCTGGATCATGGGAATAGCGAGCGTGGGGTCGACACCCGCATTCTCTCTTTCCTCCAGAGACTTCTTGGATTCTAAGGAAGAATGGGAGGGAGCAATGAGGCCCCACCCATACCCTTCCACTTTTCTAGTGTTCTTCCTTCACCGGGGCAAGGCAAAGACGGATCACTCACCCTCAATGAGCTCCTTCACAGCCTGGGACAGCACCCCATCCCCAATGGCCTCAATATCTGTGGATAGGCCAGGGGCCTGGGTTAGTGGCTGCCTTCGAAGGTCATTCTGGATCAAAGGGATGACGAGCTCCTTGGGGGCTTCTGAGGGATTCACACTTATGTGAACACAGAGGGATTAAGTCAGAAGAGTAGCATGGTCAGTGGGTGCTGAGCCACACCCCTTCATTCAGAGAAAACACAGAGCCAAACTCACCCCCAGGCCCATGGACCAGGCTCTGTCTGGTTCTTCAGTTACATTTCTGGATATAACTGGAGAACCTTCTTTGGATCCTCTCCTCCACCCCCAACAATTAACTGTGCCTTTCGGGAATCAGTCCTCGGTCCATGGCTTCCACAATGACCCACAAATCACCATCTTCAGTCCAGACTCTCTCCAGAGCTCCAGGCTCCACACCCACCTTTCCGAATTAAGCCATGGATGGCTTCCCCCAACCTCAATCTGCCACTCCATTCCGTTCCCATATCGGAGAAGCCCCACCATTTCAGTTGAGACACTAGGGTCCTGTCATTCTCTCCTTTTCTTCTTTCAGAACGCACACAACTCAGGGCTCCCAAATTCTAAAGACACCCCCCTCTCAGGATGTATTCTCTCTCGTCAATCCCCAGGACCATCAGGCTCAGTTCCTACTGTCCTACAAACGCCCGCCTTCTCTCCTCCACGAATTTGCTCACGCGGTACTCAGGCTTTCCAGGCCACTGTCACCGAGACAATCAATTCAGAGTGCGCCCTCCCCCATGCGCCCACCGCACCGATTTCCAAGGGATGAAAGACCCAGCGCTTCACCTGTGCAGCTTCCTCCCTTCCACGGTCTTCAAGAACTCCTTCTCTTCCGGAGCCGCACCCGGGTCGTCTCCCCGGTCGGCCAGCCGTCTTCGGGCAGCCGTACGACTGAAGCTAAACGAAATTGGGGCAGTAGGGGGTCCCGCCGGCCGCGAAACACCATCTTCAGACTCCGCCATCTTGCTCCTCTTCCCAGGCCCGCGCGCTGCTTGCTGGGAAGTTTAGTTTGGGCTCAGTTTGCCGGGAGCCGGAAGACGGGAGTTAGAACTACCTTTCCCATGAAGCACTGCGGCATCGACAGGCAAATAAGGGGCCTTGGGAAGTAATTGCGGCACTTTTACGTCAGAGATGCACTTAGCGCCAAGCATGCTGGGAAATGTAATTCCTCCGGGAGCTAGGGGTGCTAAGAAGTGGTGTAGGCATTTGTCGAGTATTTATTGATCGCGTACTGTATACATGTTTCTGTGCCCTACTGGCATGGAAAGTGTAGGTAAAATAAGGGGAAAAAATCTGTGAATGCCAGTTGTGTAAAATAATACAGAATAGACATGTAAATAATGCCCACCGATGCAAGATTTAATACTCGACAAGCTCTAGGTTCAAATATTAAAAAATAGCCCCGACCGGTGGTTAGAGCGTCGGCCTGCGCAAAGAAGGTTCCTAGTCAAGGGCTCATGCCCTGATTGCAGGCTCCATCTCTAGTAGGGGGCAATGATTCTCTCTCATCTTTGATGTTTCTGTCTCTCCCTCTCCCTTCCTCTCTGAAATCAGTAAAAATGTAAAATAATAATAAAATAAATAAAATAGACCTCCTCTTCTTTAGAGGCTTATAGTCCAGTGGGGAACAATGACACACAAGTCCGCGAGCCCCAGCCTTCGCGGGTACGCGCGTCGACCCCGCCCGCCTCCACGACATCCCTGGGGACAGCTGTTTGGCCCCAGTATTCCTGCACCCTCCGAAGGCCCCGTGACTGTCCCTGGAACTCTCCGAATGCCCCTTCCTCACCCTCATTCCAAACTTTACCCCGCAATGCGAGAGGGTCCCCGAGTTCCCCAGATGTCCCACGAGAACACGGTCTCCCCCCTCCCCGTGGCCCGGTACTCCCGACTTCCGCTCCAGATGCTCTGGCCCCAGATTGCCCCTCTGCTTATAACCCCAGGGGCCGCCCCTAAGCCCCCGAAATTCATCAAAGACCCAGTGACCCTGGGCAGGCCCCTCCCCCCGCACATCTCCCCAGAGACGCCCCGCCGCCTCCCCTCCCCCCCCATGCAGGCGCGCAGCCCCGTGGCGCGGGGGGGGCAGGGCTCTTGAGCT